TTAGCTTAGACAGTTTTGTAGGTGGTTTATAATATATGGTAAACATACTGCATATCTTGGCTTTTCTGTATTTCAAGTTCCCCAACTGTTTAAAAACAACTAGCTGTGCCAGGTATGGTAAGGAAATCCGAGAATCCCAGCTGCCAGGGAAACTGAGGCGGGAGGAACCAAGTGAAGCCAGCCTGAGCAATTTAGAGGACCCTGTCTCAAAATAGAATAAGGATCCAGGCATGGTGGTGTAGTGCACATCTATAATCACAGTATTCTGGGAGGATGAGGCGGGAGGATGGATCATAGGTTTGAGCCCACCCTGAGCAATTTAGCAAGACTTTTTCTCAAAATAAAGGTCTGGGGCTGTAGCTCAATACAGAGACTCTGCATTCAGTCTCCAATACTGGGAAAAAGTGGGTGGGGGGCTGGGGATGTTGCTGTCTGGGTTCAGTCTTCTGGGCAGGTACACAGAAATTGTAAGGTTCAAGTGAAATGATTTTAAAATATCAGGCTAACTAATAAGGCAGGTAAACTTAGTGTTATGCTCGGCCTTTTTATCAAAATGCTTTCTTACTAACATTGGATTAGTAATTTTTAAATGCCTTTATTTCTTGAATTCTTCAAGACTGTCAGTCAGTCTGTATCTTCAGGTCCCCAAGGCTTGCCACAAATTCTTGCCCACAGTAGTGGCCCCCAATAATTGTTGGAATTAAAGGTGGATGTGGCAGCACATGCCTGTAATCCCAGCGCTCTGGGTAGTTGAGGTAGGAGGATTGGGAGTTGAAGTCCCCCCCTGAAGAATTTGAAAGATCCTCTGTCAAAATAAAAAATAGCTAGAGGTGTAGCCCAATGGGAAAGCCACCAGTTCCATCTCCAGTTCAAAAAAAAAAGTTGGGATTTAAATTTGTTACCAAATGAATTTTTAATGTGTGGTCACTTTTGATCTTTAATCTCTGCTCAAGTTAATATTACCAAAATGTGCCCCTGGGTTTGTGTTTGTGTTTTTTTTTTTTTTTTTTAAATATTACTTATCCAGAAGCACTGTTTCCAAATATGTTTAATAATAAAAAACTTGAAGTAGGCCTTGTTTGTATAAATGTAAATTTCTTGCTAAACATTGAAATCTTACCACTGCTTTTACCCCATCCAGTCCTGCCTCCCTGCACAGCCCTGCCCTTTTCATTTTTTGTTGAGACCAGTTCTTGCTAAATTGCCATATTGCCTAGGTTGGGCTTCAGCTTGCCAGTCTTCTGCCTCAGCCTCCGATTACAGGTTTGTGCCACCACACTCAGCTGGGACCATGGTTGTTTATAAAGATTTGGTAAGAGCATGGATACCCCAGCCTTTACCGTTCTCTGACATATCCTAGTTAAGTGGGAGGACATCCTTTTAAACTACTTTTCAGGACTGCAAAGGTAGATATGAATATGGAAGTGGCTTTTGTTGGGGAAGGGATGGTCTATAGATTTTTAATTTATGTTTTCCATAATGAAAAATACTGCTTTTATAGTAAGGAAAGAAAACTTTAAAATTACCATATTTCTAAAGTTTGCATCCTAGTTCTAAATAGGGGACAAAAAGATCATGTTTATTATGAATTATAGGGGCTTTGTTATCTGATGTTATGAACAATTTTTTCAGCAATATTCTCACAAGTTTGTTGATATTTTCATTTTATAGATGTCCTATTTTAATCTTGTGAAGAGCATAACATTTGCCTTTCGAAATATATATGGTCTATCACGGTAAGTTTACAATGTATTGAAACCGTTGACAGTATTAATCATGTTGCTAGAAAATTTCTGTTCTTAATTGTGATGAGCTAAGCCAAGAAATTCAACATGGTTAATAAGTAAGTGCTTTTGAATTTGAGTTGAAACTCAGATCATAATGAACGTAGTTTAGTCTACACTCAAGGGCATATTTACAAAAATCTTCTGTTAACTGTTAACGTATCATTTAGCAGGAACAAAAGTCTTTGCATTTCTAAATTGTAAAACACTTTTTCTGATTCATGTTTAATTTCCAGCAAGTGTTAGGGCTTAATTTTCCCTCGTCCAACTCCACTACCTGTTTTTTTTCTTTCTTTGTGTGTGTGTTTGTGTGTGTGTGTGTGTGTGTGTGTGTGTGTGTACTTCTTTAAAAGTGGGGTCATGTGCATTTTTCTTTTTCTTTGATTTTTCAGTTAGGTTTTCCTTTGGTGGGGGTACCAAGGATTGGACTCAATTTTTACTTTTTTAAATCAGATTTTATTAGTACATTTTAGGTATACATCATCACATTCATCATAGAGAATTTGTACCTATACATGATATATCTTGCTACTTTTTTCCCATCCCCCTCCCCTCTCTTCAACCCCCTTTCCCCTACTCATTTACAAAAGCTGTTGCCATATTTTTCTTTTCTTTTTTTGGTTTATTTTGTTACTTTCTCAATTGTTTTTTTCAATATCTCAGATTTCATCACACAACCCCAGGAGTGTGCTGTTGTAGTAAAATACAAAGTGGTGAGAAATATACTGATCCTTTTAAACTTGGTTGGAGAGACTTGAAAGGTCTATATGAAGACATTAAAAAGGTAAGTAAGTCTGTTTGGTCCTGCTGTGGTATAATATGTGAGTTCATGAAATGTATGTTTTAGAATTAGGAAAACAGCAGTGCAGGTTTTCAGATAGTACAGTCCCTCATACAGTTCATTTTGTGTGCATCGGGTTTTGAATGTTTTTAAGCAACAGCATGCACAGCTGGAGCTCGGCAGTGTGGAGGTCACAACACATTACTATGTAGAGCAAGGTGATTGCAAAATTGGGAAACGGTGCAGTGGTAGGAACCTGTTCTGTAAGTTATCTTATTCCCCTTCACATCCAGCACCTTCCTGTGACTTCTGCCACTATCTAATTCTCCCTGTCACTGCTAGACCCCAAAATGACTGTCTTATTTGCCTCTAGTGATTCGAAATCTCATGTGTATTCTAAGATGCTGTCCAATGCATGGGTTTGGATTTATGGCAGGCCTGTCCCTGTAGGCCTCTCATAGTGTCTTATGCCAGAGCAAACTGTGACCCTGAACCATTGCCTGGTCTCTGTCCATAGGCTTCTGGCACCGAGGCAGGTTACACAGCAGAACATTAAAAATAAATATAAATACAACCTTGGCCAGAAATGTTCACATGCTTCCCACCTCATCAAAGGTTCTCCACTTCTTCCCCAGCCCCCAGCCCACAAGCTTTCACAGCCGCTTGGCAGTGCTGGGGCTGGGAGTCGACTTCACACATACGAGGTGAGCACTCTACTGCTGAGCCCTGGCCACAGCTCACCTGCCCTCCTGTAATGACCAGAGGCCACAGAGGGAGAGCTCCCTCAGCACCTGCTCTGTGGCCCTTTCTCTGCTGCTGGTCCCCTCCTTCCTGAGGTGGTCCCCCTGCCTCTGTAAAGTCCCATCCCCCGTGCTGCCTCCACAGTTCAGTTCCTCAGGCACTACCAGGAACCACCTGTTCCTCTCATTCATCTGCAGACTTAACCCATATGGTACTTCAGTCCACATGAGCTTGCTTGCTTGCTTGCTTGCTTGCTTGCTTGCTTGTTTCCTTCCTTCCTTCCCTCCCTCCCTCCCTCCCTCCTTCCTTCCTTTTGTTCCTCCTTTTCCTGGTATTGAGGGTAGAGCTTGGCTCCTTAGCACTGAGCTGTACCCCTAACCCTTTTTTATTTTTGAGATAGGATCTTGCTACCTTGCTCATGCTGACCTCAAACTTGAAATCCAGTGCATCAGCTTCCAAGAGCCTGGGATTACAGCTATGCACCACCACACCTGGGTCAGCTATATGTTTTGAAGGCCTACACCAGCCCCAGCACTCCTCTGGCCTCTCTCTTGCTCTCGCCCTTGATATTAATTCCACCATTGTTGGATGGCTTCTTTTCCTGCCTCTGAAACTGCTTCTGCCCATTGTACTGTGAGCTTCCAGTTACTGAATGCAGTTTTTGGTTCACATTTTCTTTGACCTTTTTTGAATAGTGGACACCATTGACATTCCTCTCTTACCCATAGAAACAACAACAAAAAAACCCTCCTGTTTCCTTGGCTTCTCTGCTTTCTTGTTTATTTAATCCTTCAACTCTTCCTCAGTTTATTCATGATTTGCTCTTTATCTCCTCCTCCCTACCTGCTCCCTTTAATTTTGCCATTGCCTGGGATTCTGTGGGCCCCTTCCTCTCTCCATGTCCTCTGTATATCTGTTTCCATACCTAGAACTTCCAAACAATAGACCTCTGCTCCAGGTTGAATTGTCTGTTCTGCCCTGTGCAGACAAGTGCTTCCACACAGCTCTAAAGTGTCCATGACTGTCTGACTTACATCTGAAACTTCTGTAAAAAATGTGTGTCCTGGAGCATTAAAGGTGCCACACAGGACAGGCCCTCGGTTGTCCTTCTGTCTGCCATGTTCTTCTGTTTCATGTCTTGCCTTCAGTTCCCACCGTTCCAGGTCAGGCCCTCGCCTTTTTGCTCCTGGGGTCACCTGCTCACTTTGGTGAGAGGATCGGTTATCCAGTGTTGTGTGAATTGCAGTTACTGGTTTACTTCCTCTTCCTGGGCTCCTGGACCCTGGGCTCCTTGTAGCAAAGATGGTTTTTCTCATCGTTATGACCACTGCTTTTATCACAGTGCTTGGCACTGAGTCACCAATCCAGGGAATTCGTAATGGGCTCTCCTATATCCTGTAGCCCTGAACCTCTCTGGGGGTTCATTCCTTGTTCCCTAGCTGTTTCTGGGGAAGAATGTTTCCAGCATATCCTTGAGAGGCAGGCAGGACTAACACACACCCATGGAAGACCCTTTCCTCTTCATAAAGCAGAGCCCTGCTGCTCCTAATCCTGTCAGAGCTTATTCACGAATCAGGTGTTCTAGACTACACTGATCTTTTCTTTCTCTGAGCTTTTAATATATTCATCGTTGTTACTGCGTTGGTAATACAGGACACTATTACATTATACATTGAATAGTTTAAATTTTTATAATGTTTGTCTCCCGGATTCAGTGATGGTAAGCTCCCTGCACTTAGACAAACTGAGTTTTACGCTAAGTCCTCTTTGAACCTTCAGAGTGTACATTGCTAAAAAAGGCCAAGCCAGACTTTGGAGGCCTGCTTGTTCTCCACTGACCAGAGATGCACAGCTCTGCTGGAGGATGCAGGATAACCCTGCCTGCTTCATGCACTCCCACAGTTCCTGTCGTTCTCTCGCTTCCAGCTTCCAAGCTGCCCCGAGCCTGTGTTCTCTTCTTGGTTGAGCTGTCACTAGCCCCAGGGGGGGCTACATAGGTCTGGGCCACATAGTGCTTTCTCCAGCCTCCTGCTGTCTGTCGGAGTCATTGGCCACCTGCTGCTGTCTCTGGGCCCAATAGCAGTACCTTTTCTAGCACTGGGGACCTTGGGGAAAAGGGAGCAGACACTGTTTGTGTAGCCTACAGGGCAGCCAGCTTTGTGGCCAGACCATACTGGAGCGTCATCCAATTTAGCATTGTTTTATTTGTCTTTATTTATTTATTTATTTATTTATTTATTTGTTACAGGGTCTCACTACAAAGTTCAGGCTAGTAATGATCCTCCTTTCTTGGCCTGCCCAGTGCTGGGATTACAGGCATATACCACTAGACATGGTTTCAGGGCCAGCATTGCATATGGTACTAGGGAACAAACTTGGGTCTTTGTGCTTGCCAGACATGCACTTAGACCACTGAGCCATTTCCCCAGCTCCAGCATGTGGTTTCTTAATTGAACTGGATACATTGAAATAAAACCAGATTTTTACAAAACAGATCCTGTTGACGTGTACTTAGAATGGTCTCACTGAACTTTGTTTTAGGAATTGTTCATATCTACAACAGAACTGAAGGAAATGTCTGAGTACTACTTTGATGGAAAAGGCAAAGCCTTACGACCAGTTATTGTGGTGCTAATGGCCCGAGCCTGTAACGTTCATCACAGTAACTCCCGGTGAGTGACTACCTTTCACACACGTGCGCCTCTGTCCGTCGGGTGGTACTGCAGATCTTGAACCTTTGCATGTGGCTGGCAGAGCTGTAGCTCTAGCCCTTTTTAAATTTTATTTTGAGACAAGGTTTCATGAAGTTGCCCAACCTACCCTTGAACTCTTCAGTCTCCTCTTGCCTTATCCTCCCAAGTAGAGAAGATTACAGGTGTGTGTCCAGCTCTGTTGGCTTTCTCTGTTTAGAAAGTTTTCCTTTCCAAAGGGCTGGTCAGATAGCTCAGCAGTTTAAAGCGTCTGCTTAGGCAGAGTGCAACGGCCAAGATTCGATCCCTGGCTTGCTTGCTGGCCCCACCTCCAGGGCACACTGACAGGGCGATTGAGACTGGGCATGTGGATCCTAGCCCTTAGGAGGCAGAAAACAGGAGATTCACTACAAATCCAATCTACATAGTGAGACTCTGTAGACCCTGTAGTAAGTACATTAAAAAAGAGAAAGTTTTCCTTTCCAAGATTACTGTTTTATTTCTCCCTTAAGAAGTAGCACCTAAGAATTCACTTTGTGATACATAAATTCTGACTGTGAGTTTCTGACTTCACTATCATTCTAATCTGTAGGCTTTTTTTTTTTTTTAAATGTATTTAGTGCAGGGCCTATACACAGATCAGACTTGTAGTGATCCTCCTGTTTTCAGCCTCCCAAGCGCTGGGATTACAGGTGCACGCCACCACACCTAGTCTCAATTATTGTCTCAGCATGACCCAGGGACAGGGCCAACATGGCATGCTGAGGATCAAACCCCCAGTCTCTGCACCTGCCGAATCAGGCACTTTAGTCCACTGAGCTATCTGGCCAGCCCTTTATAAGCTTTTTAAACATCCTTTGATGAATGACTTTAGCTACAAGGAAACATTTTAGAAATTAACAACTTTAAAGCCAAAGTATTTTTTCTCATTAGAATGTTGTTATGGATATACTTTTAATAATTATCCACATGTCCAAAGGTGGATTGGTCTAAAGTTGACCTGTGCCTGGAGACAGTGAGTACCTGCACTCCGGTTTACCTCCTTCCAGTGACCTTTGGAATCCAGTCAGAGGAGACATTTTGATCCTGCAAATAGTGTGGTTTGAGTATCTATAAAAGTTAAAACAGGGACCAGGAAGATAGCTCAGTAGAATAGGCGCTTGCCTGGCAAGCGCAAGGCCCTGAGTTCAATCCCCGGTACTGCAAAAAAAAAAAAAAAAAGGACAAAAGTTAAAACAGCTGTACTTTTACCAGTAAGTAAAATCTTAAAAGGAGAAAGGTCTCCCGGTCACTTCACACAACTGCTACCTCATGTGTCTTCTACTCCATTCTTGGATTCGACTGATCAGTAGACTGTTCTATGCCTTTGTATTTTACTCTATTCACTTACCATTATTTTAAAAGAACTTACACATTGCCAAAATATTTTCATAATTACATCATGTAATCATGAAGTTCCAATGGAATGTGATGTACTGATCCACCTACCTTACTGTTGAATGTTTGTGTATTTCTTTTCTCAGAGCTTTTATCTGCACTTTTAGTGTGTGTGTGTGTGTGTGTGTGTGTGTGTGGTACTGGGGATGGAACTCAGGACCTTATACTTGTGAGGCAGGTGCTTATGCCACTGAGCTATCTCCCCAGCCTCCTCAGTAGAGCTTTTAAAGAGTGCCCAAGATTTGTCACCAGTAAATTTTAGGATGGTGCTGTGTGGACAAGTCTTAGCAAGCAGTGCCTCTACGCACAGCCATGGTGACCTGCAGCCCCATCTGTGTTCAGCACACCACTCTGTGCTCCCGGTCGCCTTCTCTACCTAGGCTTTTCAGCAAGCTCGCAGCATATGTCACGCATGCTGTGGAATCTTAGCCATTCCTCTTTAGCTGTCATCCAGCCCATGCTCACTGGCTGGAAGGCAGAGCACAGCAATGGGCCCCCTGAGCCAACTTGAAATCCAGCTCCTGCAGTCTAGAGCAGCCTCAGCCTCAGCACTCCTGACGCTTTGGAGCAGATCAGTCTGTGTGGATGGTAGGGAACTGTCTTATGCATGGTGGGATATGTCACACCACCTCTGGGTTCTACGCACTAGCTAGCCCTATTTGATAGCAACTGAAAATGTCTCCGGACATTGCCAAGTGTCTCTAGGTGCAGGCCCTGACTTGCTGAGAGCACTTGCTTCCCAAGGACACTGTTAAATCAGTCCCTCGTGCACCAAGTGTGGCTGCAACCTCTATGCCACTTAAAGCAGGAGGTGGCGATGGCTTCTGAAGAGCTGGTCATTTCACCTGCCAAGCAGGGCTTAGAACACTGAACAGGCAGTAAGTAACTAAAGATTCCAGAGCAGGACTGCACAGACTGCCTTTTCACCCTTTTTCTTTTATCTCACATGTACGCTCCTTCTTTATCCTGAGTAGCTGGGGCTATAGCTGTGTGCCACCATGGCTGGCCTCTCTGCGACTTTAAAAAACCATTTTCTTATACTACTACTACATAATATGAGGTCTAAAACAAATTACAAGTAAACTCCAGTGTGGAAGATTATCAGATACTTGTGCAACAGCAGCATGGGGTGCAGTGGTGAGGGGGGCACACAGTACAGACTCTGGCACCGTTATTCTTGATCAGTGCTGTTCTCCTTGGTAAACCTAAACTGGCAGCAGGCTCCGGGGAAAGCCTTTCTCTCTTGTGGACAGGGCAGCTCTTTAAAGGCTCAATCATAATACTTGGATTCCGCAGCAGTTTTCATATCAAGGGAAAAGAACTGATCCCCAAAAGCAGGAATCCTGAGCAGTTTTCAGGTTTATCTGTAGATAAATGGGTGCCTGTGGAGTTGCATTGTATACGATGTAGGCTTCATACTATTGTTTATTTCCTTACTGCTGAAGAAACTAGCACAGCTTCTGAATTTCGGGACATGGCATGTGGGCCTCATGGTGACATCTAGGTCTTCAGTCTGTTCAGGTCTGCGTGAGGACTGCTCCCCAGAGCCCAGGGACTCTGGGACAGGGAGGCATTGTTTTCAAATCAGGCACAGGGAGTGAAAGGGTAGTAGCTGAGTTCTTCGTACAGAGAATCCACCACCTCCTAGCACGATGGAGGCTGAAAGAAGGTGCAGAGACCACATCCACAGCCTCATGGAGATGTTCTTTCACTGAGCTTGAGCCAGAACCCACCAGTGAAATGCTCAAGCATCTGCTCATCAAAACCTCCACTTTCCTGGGCTCCCATATTGCAAGCTTTGTGGCACTGATCTGTTGTATTTTTTAGCCTTACTTTTACATTTTTATTCCTTTACAAGACTGGGGATTGAACCCAGGGCTTTTGTTCTGAGCTATGTCCCCAGCCTATTTTTTTGAGACAAGGTCTTGCTCAGCTGAAGGTTGACTAGCCTGGGCTTGAACTTGGCAATCTTCCTGTCTCCACACCCCGCTATGGCCACCTTTTAAGACTAAGAGCCTCTTTTTCTCAGGCAGCCTGACTGTCACCTCTCCAGAGAGCTGGGAGAGTGTGGCAGCAATTTCACAGCAGGAAGTAGGAATAATGCCCAGCTTTTGTAAGGCATGACTCAACTTGGCACTTTAAAAATTCATCTTAAAGACAGTGAGCTTTTTCTGTAATCTGAATTTTGGTCATCTCCCAGCTGTAATGCTGCAGAAAGGGTAAGCAATGGCAATATTTTTGAAAGCAGACACATTAAAGCCATAGAATTGCACCAGATAAAATCATACAGCATGTAAAATCCGGTTGTGTAATCTGTATGGATGTTGTGTCACAATGCCAGATAGCCTTCCAAGCAAGAAGCCTGATTTCATCAATCAGTAATTTAGCCATGCTATATATATAGTGAAATTTCAGATATGGTCAAATTATAAAGCAAAACCAGTGGGGAGATAGCTCAGCAGTATAAGTGCCTGCCTGGCAAGCGCAAGATCCCGAGTTTGATCTTGAGTACTGCATGCTGTGCCAGCCCTGAAAGCAGATGTGGTGGCACACAGCTGTAATCCCAGCCCTGGGAAGGCTGAGACCAGAAATCACTATAAGTCTGAACTGCACAGAGACCCTGTATCAAAAGAATAAACATTTTTTAAAAATCTCTAAGCTACCAGTTCGCTGCAGTCCCCTAGCTTGTACATCTGTCTGTTGTCATAGCTTGAGTCAAATGCAAAAGGCTGTGCATTTTCCTGTACTTTCAACTCAAAAAAAAGAGGGTCTAGTAAATTTACCTGAAAAATATGGAAGCTCATTTAATATATAAGGCCTGAAAGCTCCACTGAAGGACCCACCAAACACCTGAAGGCCATTGCTTTATTCTCTCACTAATGTGCTTAGTTAGTGGAGTTTTTTTAGTTTTTGTTGTTGTTGTTGTTGTTGTTGTTTGTTTGTTTTGTTTTGTTTTGGTGCTTGGAATTGAAGCCAGGGCTTCATACTTGCTAAATGCTCCCCCTACACACACACCCCTCTGAAGTGCTTCTAGCATGATACGTCCCTGGCTTCCATTGCTTTTGCTCTATTTCTTCTTCCTTGCAAGAATCTCGTAGTATTAGGAACTGTTATATTGTGACTTGGGGACTATAAATAATAAGCAGTGCTTTATAACTCATTTCCAGAAAAAGCTCCGGGATTTAGTTCTAGGGCCTGAGAGGATGTGGCGAGAGGCACAGTTAGAGGCTCCTGTGTCTTAGATGTAGCTGGGCGTCATTTTTACTTTCTGCTGCATCTGAGGAGTTAAAATGAGCACCACCTTTGTGCAGATGATGAGATTCAATTTTTAAAGAAAAAGTCAAGTAAATAGATCTCCATTTTTAGGATTAACCAGATGATATTTGAAAATCAAGCAATTGGAATAACTGAACCATTTGGTTAGTAGATAAGTCAGGCACATGTCTTAGGTTCAGAAAATTTAGTTGGCTATTTTTCTGATTTGATTTTATTGAAGCTCAGCTTTTGAAATATCTCATCAAGTGATAGTGGTAATGATTAATTAGAAAGAAACCGAGAGCCAGGTGTGGTAGTGCAACCTTGGAATCCCAGCTATGTAGGAGACTAAGGTAGGAAGAGTACTGGGGCCCAGGAGGTAATGGCTAGCCTGGGCAATGTAGTGAGGTTTTCATCTTTTTAAAAAAGAAAAAGGGGCTGGGGAGATAGCTCAGCAGTCTAAGTACCTGCCTGGCAAGCACAAGGACCCTGGTTTGATTCCTAGTGCAGCATGCCATGCCAACCCCATATTGCATAGTGAGCCCCTATACCAAATAAGTAAATAGATAAAAAGATTTTTAAAAAAGAAGAAGAAAGAGAAACTTGAGAATGCTTATCCTGTAATTTATGTGAAACTTGGGAGATAAAAATGTAGATTTCTAATGCAAAGGTTAAATATGAGTTGAAAGAAACCATCCTATCTTGTATATTAATATCATACTGCACATTTAAGACAGAATTGAAAACTTTCAATATACTGACAGATTTTTTTTTTTTTGTACTGGGAATCAAACTCAGAACCTTGTGCTTGCCAGGCAGGTGCTATATACCACGGAGCTGTATCCCCAGCCATGACATATCTTTCTAAACTATTTCTCAGGTATTTCTAGCATAGTACTCTAAAATGTCATTGTAACCTGATTATGAACCTGTACGCCTAGCCAAGGCCAGTTATATAAGCCAGGAAGATGATTTTTCAGCCCAATGTCCAGATGTCTGAAGTCTTGTGCTTTTAGAGTTAACTGCAAATTGTAGTTCTTAATGTGGAGTCCATAAACATTTGGCAGGGTCTCTTATGCATTTTTAAAATGTTCTCTACACCATAGAAATGGCTCTGTAGGAAAGCCAAAGTTTTAATGCAGTTTCTCTTAGAGAAATAAAATTCTTTATCCTAGATCGGGTGTCCAGTTTTCACAAGATGATTGCTGAGAAGGTTGTAGGCCACGTCTCTGTTAAAAGCGTTGCTTTCTGTTAACTAGAGATGTGAAAGCCAGCCAGCGCTCCATAGCCTTAATTGCAGAAATGATCCACACTGCTACGCTGGTTCATGATGATGTCATTGATGATGCACGTTCTCGAAGAGGAAAACACACAGTTAATAAGATCTGGGGTGAAAAGAAGGTACAGTTGTTTTTCATCTTTGGGGTGTTTGAAATATCAAATCACATACTTTTTGTTGTGGTTTGTGTCTAGATGTCCCCCAAGACTCATGTAGTTATGGGATGGCCTTCTAGAGTTGGCTATTACTTCATGATCCAATGCTGGGGTTATTATGGGTGTGAGAGCTACACCCGGCTTGTGCGGATAGCCTGAATGCAATATAAGGAAAGGGGAGAGGCTTGCTCTCTGCCACTGCTCCTCCCTTTTTGCTCTGCTGTTTTCCTCTGCCTTTGAGCCAGCCAATTATGGACTGAAACCTTCACGAACTATGAGCTAAATAAATCTTCCCTTCCTTAATTTTTGGTGTCAGGTATTTTGTCCCAACAATGAGAAAAAGTAACCAGACATCTTTTGTCCCACATATAAGAAAAAGCAACCAGACACCTCTTAAATCCCTGACTTACTAAGAATGAGTTCTATTCAGGGAGAATATTCATAAGCTAGATTCTTTGGTGAATCTGAAAATTAGTCTACATACCTTTGAAACAAATACACAACATAAAACATACACAAATCCAATCCTCACTGCATGTACCACGGTACACTCGCACTGTACAGTGAGCACATAGAAGCACAGCTGTGACAGAGTGCACACACAGGTGAGCCGATGCCACAATTCCTCCACATCTGTGAATGTCCAGAGTGTAAGATCTGTTCCTATCTGTGAATGTTTGCAGCTTCACTGTTCACAATTCAGGGACTTAGTGTATTGTATTTGCTTCTCAGATTTGTCTCATTAAAAAGTAAAATGTAGGGCTGGGGAGAGAGTGCAGTGGAATAAGTGCTTGCCTGGCAAGCGTGAAGTCCTGAGTTCAAGCCCTGGTACTGCAAAAAAAAAAAAAAGAAAGAAAAGAAAAGTAAAATGTACTTGTTCAACTATGGTTTTCTAAATTTCAAAATACTGTTCATGTTGCCTCTGTATATAGCATCTGATAGACAAAATAAATTACAATAGAAAAAAACCAATAAACTTAGTATTTCTGATTATTCACCATTTTGTGTAGAATTTTTTTGGTTATAAACAAAGGAATTTCATGGGCATTCAGAAAGAGTATCTTTTGAGTAATTAACACATTTTACTTTTGAGCTCAGATTGTCCGGATTGAATTTAATTCCTTAAATATTTACTGATTGCCTGCCTGGTAAAAGAATGTTTAGCCAAATAACATGAACAGAAAAGAATAATCTCAGAGAGATACCATCTTACTATGAAAATTTTACCTTTTTAAGTAGAAGAATGATGAAGTTTCTTATTTTAGAATTCCTGGAAGGAAGTATGCAAAATAGAGACTGGTTTGAGGAAGTATAAATCATGGGTTAAAGAATGGGAATAAAGCTGGGGAGATAGCTTGGCAGTCTAAGTGCTTGTCTGGCAAGCACAAGGACCTGGGCTTGACCCCCAGTGCCTCATGCTGTGCCGGCCCAAAACCCCATGTAGGCAGTGCCTGCCCAGAAACCGGGCATGGTGGTACAGGCCTGTAATCCCAGCACGAGGGAGGCTGAGACAGGAGGATCACTAGGAGTTCGAGCTGCATAGTGAGACCCTGTACCAAATAAATAAATAAATAAATATTTTTAATTAAAAAAAGAAGAATGGAAATACAGTGGCACAAATGGACCAGAGTTAGTTTCCAGCCCTACACCTGCTTTTATTTGCTCAAGTGAAGACTCAACAAAGTTTATGCAAATACAGCTCAGCCTCTTACCTTCTCTGTTTATAGTACCTGCATCTTAGTTACTTTTCTCATTGCTGAGACAAAATACCCAACACCTGAAGTTGTTTGTTTTTGTTTTTTGTACTAGGAATCATACTTAGGACCTTGCAATTGCCAAGCAGGCACTGTTCCGCTGAGCTACATCCCTGGGCCCCACACCTAAAGTTAGAAAAAAGGTTTATTTTGGCTTCGTTTGTGAAGGTTTTCAGTCCACAGTCAGCTGGCTCCATGGCAAAGTGGCAAGGCAGACACACCTCCCAGCAAGAGGCAGGAGCAGCAAGCCACAAGCCAGGGTCTGTGAATCAGTCCCAGCAGCATGCACTCTGCGTCTCACCACCTGCAAAATGCCCTGCCTCTCTGTGACTGCATGAGACTGAGCGACATCTAGACACAAGCCATGACTGCTTCTCTCCTGGTTGCCTTTATCTTTACGTGCTACTTTTGTCATCAGTGGCTTTGTTGTGAAATGGAATCCTCCATTTTCATGTCTATCTCTTATTTCAAAATTTAACTAAAAAATTTTATGTCCACTTGACAAAAGGCTACATATCAGAATGCTAGCAAAAGGGATGGTACTTCATTTTGGAGCAGACATGGGCAGCATTAGGACTCATTGTTGCCATCACCTGTGCCAGGACCAGGGCTGAAGCTTTAATCTGAGTCCTTGGATTTGAGAAACAAGATTAGAGAAAAAAAAATATGGTTGTAACCACAACCTTTTATGTGGCTTCCTCTGCTCCTGGGGCTGCCTGATGACAGGTGAAAGGAGGTTTGACCCGCATTGCCAGTCTCCAGCTCCAAGTGGTCTGCTCAGCACGAGTGAATGCCAGCTCCCGCCCTTTCCCTGCCTCTGCGGCACAGCTACTAGGGCACTGCTGTGCACAGCCATGCCCCGATGCTGTTCCAGGAGCTGTTGTCCCTACAGCCTGGGCTTCCCAGCCACTTCTGGCCTGACCCTTCACACCCAGCTCTCTAGTCTTGTTTCCTACATGAAAAGCTTTTGGCCTCAAGGATTCCTAGGGCAGGAGAAGAGCTGTGAAGGCCCAGGAACCTCAGGCTTTGAGCTGCCAGTGATACAAGCAGGAAATGGATGGATATAAATGTGTACATAAATATTGTAGGTATAAAATGGTTTCATCAGTGAATATTTATATGAAACTAATATGTGTATTTTATAGAAAATCACTAATTGATAAATATAAACTGAACGTCATTATTTTAGAAACTCCACAGAGAACAGATGATAAATACCTAAAATGGTATGTTAATGAGAATTTCTATAAACGACCATTTATTTTTAAATATGCAAATTAATAAGGATGCATACATATGGTATTTGATTACAGTACATAATTCAAAGATGTCTAATTTACAATTATTTGCTAATACATTTGGGACATCTCTCAATCTAATAAGTGTGAGAAAAATATTTTGTTGTGCTGGGTCGGTAGCTCAGTGGTAGAGTACTTGGATGATGGGTGGAAGCCCTTGTTGGATCCCCAGCACTGCCCATAAAGGGCTAAGGCAGCACAAAGAGTAGAGCAAAATTTCCTTAGTTTAATTTTCATTGAAAAAAAAATGTGTTACACTGTGAACTGGAGTGTGCTAGGTAGTAACTGGGATTGATCCTAGTTCTTGCCCTCGAGGAGAATGCTGTCAAATCACTGATAGGATCACAAAATGTGACAGTGGTAGTGTGCATGTAGTGTGCCCACTCAGAAGAATGCCTCTGGTCAGGCTGTTGGATGTGGGGAGGCTTCCTGCAGGCAGTATCTGAGCTCATTGTGTAAACTGAATTTCTCAAGTGCAGAGGAGGACGTGTTCTGGTGTTGAGAATGAAATCCTCAGTACATGTACGCTTTCTGCCACTAGCTCTGCCCTGGCCTGAGAAGCATTTTGCAAGCAGCAGGAGCAGTAAGTGGAAAGGCACAGGGATAAGGTTTGAGGGAAGGTGAGTGGTCCAGTGCAACTAAACCGAAGGTTGCCACATATTGGCGGTGTCGAGTGATGAGCAACAGTGAGCTGCCTGCCTGACACACGGGGCCAGACAGCTGGTCTATGCAGTCAGGCAGCAACCCATGTCTGCCTGATTTCTGTCATTCCCCTGAGGAAGGGGAAGGGGGAAACACATCCATGAATACGCCTCTGGCCATTCTGTATTTATGTTCTGGCAAATCAGCTTCATTGTACGTCTACTCTGCTGATCTTTTTATCTGAAAAGGTTTGTTTTTTAGGCTGTTCTCGCTGGAGATTTAATTCTTTCTGCAGCATCTATAGCTCTGGCACGAATTGGAAACACTACTATTATATCTATTTTAACCCAAGTTATTGAAGATTTGGTGCGTGGTAGGTTGATTCTGACTTTTCTCTTACCTCCCCTCTCCCCTCCCCCCTCCCCCTCCCCTCCCCTCATTCCCCTTCCCTTCCTTTCCC